AAACCAGACCTCCAAAATTTCACGATATATTTATTTCAACCTAACCTAATTAGATGAAATAAACCCCCCGGGGGAAGACCAGGTTCGTGAACCCGGACAGCCATTTGCCGCGGGGACATATGTGTGTATGTAAGTTATGTATGTACCGAACTTGATCACCCTCTTTACCGTGACAAACAGACATCGGTTACGGAACTTGGAGCCGTTTTTACCGTAATTTCGTAATCTTTCAGTTCCATTTGAACGCCAATTGAACGCCAGACGTTACGCACAGTGCGAACGCGTGTGTTCGTTTTATATGTCACCCCGTTTTTTCATAAATCAGTCGGTGGTTAACACGTTCAAGAGGGTGAAATTTTTCTTACTCCGGACATTGAAAGTAGGATCCATATGGAGTTGATACTCTTTTTTTTTTTAGGGCTTTTAGAGTAACTAAAAATTTCTTAATAAAAACGTTTAATAAGTAACCATGAAACACGAGGGACGCAGTAAGAACTCATGCAGGTGCATACAAACACGCCCTGCAGGAGGCACTGGCTACGGGCACACAACCAAGGGTGTCGTGGTTAAACGGCCGACCCGTCGAGAACTACGGTAGAGAGTTATGAAACAATATGTGCGAAACAACCGTTACTGTCTCCAGATTGCAAAAAGACATTCAGAAGTGTTCCAAAAGTGTGTGACAAACGACCATAAAACCCGGGTAAGGAGGTACGGTCTAGAGGAAGATCTCGTCACTACAAAAACCCCGACGGCGACCCGTTGTGTCTGAAAGTTGAGGGAGGTTTCTAAAAGATACCCCAACTCTAGACGATCTCTGACCGATCCGGTTTAGGTCCTGGAACTTTACGAAGAATGCTTCGGTTAGGAAGCAACGGGCCCGCCACACAAACCCTAGTAACAGTACGACTTTCTAGGTCCGGTGCAAAGTAGAAGTTACCGGAAACGACTACCTGTCCTCGCCCAACAAGCAGTGACAGTGAGTTGTTAGAGTGCCTGTGTACCGGGTAAGTTAAGAAAAGGAAATGTGCCTAGTCAGCAGGACCAGGGAAACGTCTTTTTGTCGGGGTTTTTCGTACTACAAAAGATGGGGGTACAAAGTGTCTCCATAGCCACAAGAAACCCTACGGTTGAGTCGTAAGAAAGAGGAGGTTTGTGTAGATCAACTCAAAAATTGTTTTTCAAGATAACACCAAAGTTACGGCTGGTATACTGTAAGAGGGTTACGGAGAAGTACCTAGTAAGGTTTTACGAGAGAATCGTTCTGAAGTCTTGCCCGGCGACCCTGTACATGACCCGAATTCCGTCCCCTGTGCAGCGAACCGTGACGTTCCTAGAACTCAGGGACCGCCGGCATCAACATCAAATGACTACCATCGGACAATTATGAAACCAGGGTCGAGAGACCGTCCAGTAACTGATCCAAGGGGGTACACCAAGACCCTAAACAACGAGCGTGGCAAGAACACTAGTAAAACCTGGGGGTGGCCCCACTCTAGACGCCACCTCCGGGGTCTAGCTCCCTCTAATAGTTACCAGACATACAGAAAGGTAAAAGATTATTAACGAGGGTGTCAACTGAAAGAAGTGTGGTTTCGACAATATGATAACGTCTAAGTCCAGAAGGGCCGCGACCACGTCCAGATGTTACAAACAAAAGACATATAGGAACTTTTTCGAGAACCAGGAACCGTATCACCTCAAATCTTCACACTGACAAACTCCAACAACCTGTCCACAGCAAATATGACTAATTGCTCAAAGTTGTCCACGGTAATTATGTCAATTTATTCAGCCTCCTGTGTCTCTCCAGAGAATTTCTTCTTCAATGTCCAGACACTTCTCGTCTTTAGAACAAACAACAAATACACTGGTTTATGAATAAAAGCGTGCGTATTATAACCGGTTTATTTGAATAGAATTGTTTTTAGTTCTGTCACTAAAAGCCCTAAAAGAAAAGAGTAAAAACAGAAAAACTATGGATCCTACTTTTAATCGTCCGGAGAGTAGAAAAATTTTCACCCTCTTGAACGGTGTTAAGCCACCGACTGATTTATGAAAAAACGGGGGGTGACATATACGTGTAAGTAAGAGTGGTGCGCAGCGAGTCTGTTGATTCTTTATATGTAATTTCCCTGGATAGTACGGTTTACGTGAAACACTACAGAAAATATGTAATTTCTACCACAGGGGCCAACGCAGCCCCCTTGAGTGCGTCGGCAGTCTTTTATGTTTGGGAGAGAAGAGAAAGGAGGCGATGCCGTTAGAAAATTTTGTCGCCCATGTTGCTCGCCGTATGCTAAACCACGGATAGACTACAGTTTATCCGTCCGTCTGGTGTCTTTTAACGATAGTCTTTGTCTACGGACTGCACAAAAACGCTGCATTAGAGCAGAAACACAATGTAATCGTTCGGAGTCCGATTGTTAGTCTCGATAGACAATGACCTCTCGTGTACCACACACATTTTACGTCCTTTATTTTTTTTCCTTGAGTGGAACACTATTGGGCGTTCTCTTTTTCGTAAACCTCGAGGTAATCGTAGTTCGGGCAACCCATATAACGTAAAGGGGCGACTTTCTTACAATGTCAGGTATCCCAAAATTGACCCAAATGAGCATGCGTTACTGGGTGTTGAAACAAAAGAAAACCAAAGAAGAAATAAAACAAAAACGTCATGTCGAATACTATCATTCCAACATTCCATTTTTTTGGAAATTTACTTTTTATTAAACTGCCATTTATGTTACGTGTACGTTTTATTTCGTTTTTATGTACGAATGTTTATAAATTGTGAAACGTTATCATTAAAAAGGAAAGAATACCATAAAATACCTTAAGTCGTAAGTTTGGCAAAATAGTTAGATTCTATAGAGTTTATTTGTTTAGTGTAAGCAAAACAATTTAGTTCGTAGTACAACGAAATCGAAACCTCCTGTAAGTTTGTTTGTTTACTGTGACTTGAATCTTGCATAGAAAGATCTGTACGTGGTGTTTGCCAGTTTCAACACTACTGAGAATTGATTGGTGTGTCAACGCAGAGCAGTGGCCGCGAAGAGGTTCGAAAAATACCGACGTGGTCACGCGAAGAAACCTGCAAAGGCCACGGCGCACGACGACGACATGCGTGCCGAAAAATCAAAAGGGAGAGGGTCAAACAATGACGGCAAGAAGAAGAAGCAGAACGCAGAAGAAGAAGAAGAAGAAGAAGAAGAAGAAAAGAAATTACCGCTTCGCGAAGTGAACTCGTATATAGCGGTGGATGACACTAATCGATTTAAAGTATAATTTAGGACAGGAAGCTGGGTCACGAACGTCCCTTAATTCTAGTCGAACAAACGAAGTAGAACTAATGAAAGTCATATAACAGCAACTTTAGGTACAGGAACCTACCACCTCACCAAGGTCACGTCAAAAGTCTTACTCAGAAACAGACAATATTAGGCTCGTCGATCTTTTGTACTAATAGACGACAAAACCGTTGTAGTGTTAACGGTACTACAAACAGGTTAGTCTACGTCAACTACTCAAATCAGGTCTCACAGGGTAAAATAGGACGACAATTACGAGACAAGAGAAGATGATGAGGGGTAGAGCATTACTTTACTGGCATTGATCCGGACCATTGACCTTGTATACATTCACAAGTGGACCTTTAACAAAAAAGTTTGAGTACCTCTGCTGTAACAAATAAGATTGGCTGCAAAGTTTTCCAGGTCGGATGCGTAAGACTTAAAACAAGACTTTCAAAGGAGGTATAATTAAATTTTGGTTTAGTATTGATAAGTAAACTTGAGTCAAAGACGGCTGCAACTCCACCTCCTCGGCCTGTGCCTCGGGCAATATGAGTATTGATATGGCTGGGTGGAGTGGCTTCATTTATGCTGACATATTCTTCATGTCTCAACCAAGTTTCAATGAGACAGCATATATCAATATTATAATCTGATATTAAATCATTTACCAATATTGCTTTAGATGCTAGAGATCTTATATTTAAGAGTCCACATTCAATCTTCCTGTTTTGTTTGTTTTGAACTTTTATTAGGTTATTATGTATGACACCTCTATTAGATTTTACTTTAAATTGTCCTTGGGCAGACACACACACCTTTTAATATTGGGTATTTTATTGGAGAGAGCACAGAGAAGCGTGTAAGACTGTGACTCCTCCTCGATTGTATACCCTGGTATAGCACTAGTCTCTACTTTAACCACAACATACAATCTAATTCTTATTGTACATCTACTATTATGTAATATGCATTACGTTTTTTCCCTGCATTAATGATCAAATCATTACTATAACCCCCAGATTTGAAGATTTAATTTGCTGCATTTGATAACGATATATACATTTTTCTTGATTTTGCTTTAATATTTGATGTATTTGATGTGGATAAATTGTTATGCTATCATATAAATAATACATAATATAATAGATGAACTCTGACGATTGCTAACCAACATCAGGTAGGATTTTCTGTGAAATGGGAAGGGGGAGGGACGGGGTGGCATGGGAAAGGGATTCCCTATATTTTTTCTTTGTCTTTACTTTTTCTTTTTGTATTGTCTATAATTTGTATCTGTGTATATACGTTTTTCAACAAAAAAACCAAACAATAAAATGTTGGTCACCAAAAATAACTGATGTCACTGAAAACATGGGAAAGTTAAAAAACCTATCCCTTCACAGGAGATAGATTAGGGTTTAGCCCACACACACACACACACACAGGGGGCAGATGAAGATGTTTGTGGGGACAGAGGAAGACGGGGGTCTAATGTCAATGTTTGTCACGCAGGAGAAGTCAAACAGTGGTGCTAATTGCCCCCGGACCCTCACTGTTTACTTATCTGGAGCCCAGAGAGGCTGTAGACATGCAGCAGCTGCTCGTCCTGCTGTCTTTACAGTGGAGTAAAGAGACGGTAACAGTTGAAGTTCCACCCTGATGTTTTCACCTTACTGACAGCTAACAGGCTCCAGTGACTGGAGCAGCTGATCAGTAACGCTTCCAAACACAGGCATTAGTTAGAGAGGTTGGAGTCTGCTGCATGCTTCTCCACTGGTCTATCGTCAGAAGGGTGTAGGCTACAATACACAATTACATTTTTCTAATTCTGATTTTTATCTTAATCTGGTGATAATAAAGAGATAGATATCCCAAATGTGGATAATTGTTTTGTCACAGCAGTGTTGTCAAGCATTACACGAGTTAAACATATTTAAAAGATAAAAATGAGCATTAGCAGCAAGTATACACAAATTCACAATAGAAAGGACATAATAACTAGAGTATCTAAATAATACACAATATAAAGAAAATATTGAATACAACGTACAATCTCACTAAGCTACAGAGATATATAGAAATATACTATAGACACATATTGGCATTGGATGATATATACATTACAATTGTGCAGAGTGGTACATATTGGTTATAAGGGGTTCTTTGATCAAAAGCCATCCCCACCAGTAGATGGCAGTCAGCACGACCCCAGCTACTCTATGCACATCTTCTATCTGAATATTCCCAGCTGCTGCTTAACTGTATGATCTGCAGTCTGCCATGTGTCAGAGACATTGAAACATCACTTGAATCCCTTTACTGTAATGAAGTCTCTAAAGTCTGGAAAATAAATCCATCACCATATCCTAAAATGTAGACGAGATACTGTATCGTCTCATATCTATATACTATCAGAATCAGAAACGGTTTTATTGCCAGGTAGGTTCACACGTACGAGGAATTTGACTTGATGTCATGGTGCATACATAAACATTTAAAACAAATGTTTTTAAAAAAGTACACAGATAGCAAACAATATTAAGAACACTGTAATAAAAATATAGTAATAAAATAAAGCAGTAATTTACATCATTCATGTATTCATTTGTCATTTCTAATAGTGGAACATGTATTTTCTTGCTGTTTAGTATATGGCATTTTGATCAAGATGTAGTCATCAATGAGCAGTTTCTCTATGCTTTTGTTTTGAATGCAGCTTCAGTCACTGGGGGTTTGGGTATTTATTGCAGACAGGTGGAGCAGTGACTGCCCCGGAAAAAATCTTTGTGTTTTATCAGGGGAGTAGAGGAAGTAAAAGCCATGTTCTTTGTTTGGGTTGATCTTCGAAACCTAAGGGAAATAAACACAACAAACTCAATTCTTGGCCAATCAATGAACTATCCTGCGTAAGATTCCTCATCAGATCCCTGCTGCAGTTAGATTTTGAGTTTGTATTTGTTTGTTTTAGCGTTTAGGGACAAAAAGCCACGACAGATATACAGTATATTGCCCAGCCTTGGTTTGGCCTCTGTCACAGAATTGTGAGAATGAGTTTGCTGTTTTGACATTATTTTCACATCTTACTGTTTCCTCTGCACTTGTTATGATGTTTGAATGAACCGGTTAATGTATGAACTTCAGTATGCATATGTGGAACATTAGTCTAAAATAATTTAATAATTGTCAAAAGTAGCCTATAGGAAGACAGTTTCTTTAAAGATTAGGTTTTACACTGTGTGAACTTATTACACTACATTTATAAAAAATAAATTGTATTGACAGTAAACACCTCAGATTTAATACAGTAGACAGTAACTATGTACAGCCTATAATGATCATCACACAGCCTATTCTATGTGTGAGGGGTTAGGGTTAGACTAACCCTGACTGTGTGTGTGTGGTTGAAGGGTTGCAGGACGAGTTCAGTGTGCAGCCCAGTGATGTGGAGGTGGCAGAGGGGGAACTGGCTGTGTTGAACTGCGCCCCCCCGGTGGGACACCCTGAACCTAATGTGATGTGGAAGAAGGACGGCCTGCTCATCAACAGCACTGATCACCACTACACTGTAAGCACATTTACATGTTGTGTTGAAACCTGAATAATTTTAAATATGAACCTAGTAACATTTCCAATGCTGCACAAGTTTAAACTGAATATGTTCGATTCACAAAGGGATATCTTGTATTGTCACCCTCACTATGCAGGGTGAAAGAGGGGGAAAACAAACAAACTCTCCCTCCCTTCATTTTCAATTTTTCATATATCTAACTGCATGAATGAAAAATGCCTGTGATTTAGTTTTCTTGAATAATTGTCAAAGGCATACCACTTTGAGACAGTATTTCTAGTTTGTAAATTCTCTGTCAAGTATCATTTTAAACATTTATGCAACGACTCTTGGATGACTCAAATACATCAAATTAAAGACTAAATTAAGCTGTGACATAATTAATCTGTGAAAACTGGTAATGTCGTATGATAGTTATAGTGGTGAAGCTATAATGATTTTTAAAAGTGGACGCTCCCCGACGGTCGGTTGTTATTGTCAATATTAATATAATAAATATTTATTTTTTAATAGTCACACTCGATTTCGCCGATTTTCTTGTTGCCCCAGCTGGTCGACATCTTTTTCAACCCGTTCAAATCCAGTTTTGGACAGTCTGCCGTGGTTCCATCCCATTTCAAAGTGCTCAAACCCTCGGCGCACACTCAAACTTCCAATCACAGAGCTTGAGGACTATCACGGGGTTTGTTAAGCGAAGCGGAGAGAATACTTACTTCCGAGTGTAAAATTCTCTAAAGCAACCTGACGGACTCCAACTTGTGTTTATTAATCAAACAAATAAATAAAACACAAGGATAATGATGTGTTATTGTTGAGTAAATAACAGTGTGTGGTTTAGAAAAGAATACAAAATTAGAAGGAAAAAACGATGAAACAATACAGATTTCAGTATTCTGAGCCCCTACTCTCCCCATGACTGATGGCAACAAAAGTCCTACATTATTCAATTAAAATAAATAAGTAAAAACAATAAGTGTGGCTTGATATTGAGTAAGAAAAAGATTGATAAACGCTGTGAGAATGGATCTGCAGAGAGCATTTCGCCGCGATCCCAACTCCTCATATTACCAACGTTCAGGGAGCTCTATGCAAGTCAATGGGACGCCCTGCCCGTTGAGAACTGACTTCCAAGGAGTACCCTGTACGTAATAGAGTGACGGGGAGGGGCCCCGACCGTCCGTCGATAGTGACGGGTTGGGAGTGAGGAGGACGTGTTGCTTTAAAACAGGGGTGGGGAACCTTTTTCCTCTCAAGGGCCATTTCAATTTTTTCAACATCCTCCGAGGGCCGTACAAATGATTGACCTCTGCTTAAAAGTACTACAATCGAACTTCCGGCAACGAGGAATGGAGTAGACGCGTGTTTCTCCAGCTCCCACTACTTTTAACACACAACTAACGTTTAAACCTCTTACCTGTAAACAACGCGGGGATTTTTGTTTAATTGTTTTATTTATTTTACGCATAACGATCAACTTTCCGTTGAAACGGCTAAATGGCTTCGAAAGCAAGCAAAAAGGAGAAGAAAGACGAGGCACCGGCTACTGCCGTAGCTAGCATGGCGTCCTTGGTTAAGCTACTGGAGGAGCACCGGAGCGCACTTTCAAGGGAATTTAGCGGGCTATGTCTTTCTGGAAGCGAGATTGACTTGTGTCCGGAGACAGTCACAGAACCCGGTACCGGCTGACCTCCTCTGAGGCTAACGCGATCAGCTCAGCGACAAAATGGCAAAAGAGTTGGAGGTAAGTGTGCGAGCATGGAAAGGAAGCTACAACACGTTAAAGGCTTTTTAAAGTATTCGCCCTCTGATTCACCGCAGCCCGGTCGCAATATCATCAGGCGATACACTGGCCTTACCGGAGTCGATTGGAGGGTGCACGTCCAGAGACTTTTTTTTCAGGACTTGGTGGGCTTCTGGGTGCCAAGTCCTCACTACGGCTCCGTTGAGCTGGGACCGAGCACGCGATGCCTGACGGCAAGCAAGGTCCCGGTCAAGATCAGAGCGGTAATAGCCCGCATCCATCATTTCAGGGCGAAAGAGCTATCGTTCAGGGGCCGGAAGCGCGGGGAAAGCTGTTTTTCCAGGGGAGCGTGGCTATCTTTGAAGGACTACTGCCGGCGTGGAGCAAGAACGCGCGGGCGTAGCCGGGAGGTGATGTCGGCATTTATCAACGCTGGGTTGGCCATCACTCCTGTATCCAGCGAGGTTACGGATCACAACCAAGGACGGGGGCGAAAAGATTTCGCCACTCGGTGTGAGGACGCTACACTCTTTCCTGACACACTGCAGGGTAACGCGGCGGGTCTTGACTAGAGGAGGAGCCGTGATGGCCACCTTTAATGCAGGTTTGTGATCTATGTTTTCATGGAGCGCGTTGCGCTTTTTCCATACAACACTCCATAACAGCTAATAAGGTCTTATAAAGCTGTGTGAGAAGGACTTTTTGTCAACTCTTGCCAATGTTTGTTTTTGTTTTTTCATATCTTAATAGCAGTCGACGGGTACAGTTGCTTATGGCTTCCCATCACACTCTGTGACTATTTATTGTATCATTTCGTTATGAATAAACACCCCAGTCACTGTTTATCTATTCGGGATGCATTTGCATTGAGATATTGCCCCTATGCTCCATATAGTCTCGCCGAATCCCTCGGCTGTGTGTGTGTCCTGAAAGAACGTCACATTTTGACCCTCCAAATGTTAAGTTATTCCTTTATATTTCGTATTATAATTAAATATTGCGTTTACAGTTGTTTATTGTTGAATCACTTTTTCGGTTATCGTTTTATCTAGTACCATTTTGTTATGTATGTTTTTTGTTTGTAGTTGTGTGTGTGTGTTGTATTGTGTTTGTGTATACTTTTTTTTTTTTTTCTCACATCCCGAGCCACTGCTTTTTGTTTAACTCTATGTGTAAGGTTTTTAAAATAATTAAGTTGAAAACGCTTGATCTGAGGTACCTGTTCAATCTGGGCTGAAGATGCATGTGCTCGGGAAGTTGATTTGCAGATGGTAAGTTGGGGAGGTTGAACTATTA